GGTTAGGGTTTTTAATTAGGCAAGTTGTGTATAATGATGGTTTGTTCTGTAGACTATCGGGAAAAAAATTGCTGAAAGAGGCTAATAATTGTACCCCTAAAATGTTTTTAAAAAAATTAAAAAACTGCTTTTATTCTAGCCAAAATAAAACAAATAAGACTTTCTCCAGAATACAAAAATATTATCAGACATACTGTAAAAATTCCCTTGCTCTGTTAAACATCTTTAGTGAAATATTTAAAAAAGAAAAGAAAAAAATCAAAGGGGGGCTAATAATTTTGACTTGAACTGTATATATATATATAGGGAGGTGTAACAATGTAGTGCATTTTTTACATTAAAAAAAATTAATTATTGCTATTTAAATGTCTTCATTACAATTTAAGTGTATTTTTTAGCAGTGTAAAAAATATCTGCCAACAATTTATCCAAAACAACGTTAAAGGGATTGTTCACTTTGATATTCTGTCATAATTAATATTTATTTATTCTATTTATTATTTATTAGTAGTACTTTTTATTTGTACAGTGGAACTCAATGATTACTGTTTACCAACATTTTTCGAATGATATTTTGTGTTTTACAAATACTACACGTTTGAAACAATGACACATTTGTGCAACATAGGCTCATTCTGAAACCGTAGCCCTATATACATTTCTGGAGAGTGTGAATTATGTAGCCAGAGGAACGTACGTTTCGTCTTTAAAATGAACGATACATGGTGGTGTGAGGCCATTCCTTGTCACGCTTATCAGCTGACCGCTTAGCTACTTGTGGTTGGCTTTCCCGCTGTTAGCAGTTTAGCCAGTGGCTCGTCGCATACGTCAGAGTATTTGAGACACAGAGCGGAGTTGACTAGGGTTCAAGTCAAGTTTTCAGAAAGCAGGTAAGACAAAAACAAAAGCCAAATAAATAAAACAAAAATGTAAATAACAGGATGAGAATGTGGAAGAATTTGAAAACGTGGTAAAAATCAGGCTACCGCAAGGGCTTTTCTTTTTCTGGATTGCTTTTGAAAACACTATCGGTTGGGTTTAGGGAATGGGGAGGGCAATGGTCAATCGGTGCTTTTTAAAACACTATTGGTTGGGTTTAGGGAAGGAGGGGCACTGGTCAATCTGTGCTTTTTAAAACACTATCGGATGGGTTTAGGAAAGGGGGAGGACACTGGTCAATCGGTGCTTTTTCAAACACTATCGGTTGGGTTTAGGGATTGGGGAGGGCAATGGTCAATCTGTGCTTTTTAAAACACTATCGGTTGGGTTTAGGGAAGAGCGTGGAGTAGGGTTATTGGTCGATCAGTGAGTCGACAGTGGCCTCTGGTGGATTTATGCGAGAATAGCAGGGGTGAATGACATTTGCAAGAAAAATTTGAGATCTAAAATAGCGTACACATCGGCCTCTGGTGGATTCGTGAAAACAAAAACTGCAAGAAAAAACATAGCTCCTGGGACGTATTTGGTGCTCTCCAGAAATGTATATATCGATACGTAATCAGAATAATTTCATCAGTTGCATTCGTGGACTAACTGTTCCAAATATTGTGTAAAAGCAATATCATGCTAAAAATTATGATCATATTCAATATAGCACTCTTGCTTGTATGATAAACAATTTTGAGACCCAAATGAATTATAGCTTAGAGAGTTTACGAATGCATCAAGTATTAGATTATGAAGGTGGATACAAGATCAGATGCTTTCTAAGGTGAAATCAGATTGTTGCATAACATTAATTCGGCATGCTAAAAATTCATATAACCATATACATGCACATTACTACATATGTGTATTGCATAAATCGTTGATGTTGTTTTAAATACAGTTTTGCTCATTTGTACAAATGAAATGAATTCAAAATAATGTTACAGTAGCACGAAGTCTGTACACCTTTGCAAGCACATGGTTTGTAGAGATTTAAGGCCGGGTGCTTGTTAGGGCTTAACTCCTGTCCTGTAATTACATCAGTGCTCTAATGAACTGTGCTCTAATCAGACTTACATGGGGCTTAAAAGGTCACTCATCTGTTTCCCAAGCACAAACAACCACTTCAGCTCTTATTTAGATTCATCCCAGAGTCATTTACACACCAAATTATTCCCACCATACAAAATTTCCACTATGTATCGCATTACATACCATTATAACGTGGTTTAATATTTATGTCAATGCAAACATGATTGATTACCGAAAGTCAATGAATCGAGAAGTTAATTCAACTAGTACATGTGTGTTTTAATAGAATATTCAAATTTTGAGTGGAGTTTAGAGTTTAAATCACTGCTTAGTTTTAGTTCAAAACCCTTTCCCCATTTTTGAGGGTAGGGTTATTGTTCTTGCCACTTTAGTTCTCTGTATTTTTGTCCAAGGTTTGACAGGAGCTAAGTGGATTAGACTCATCTGTTATAGGATTTACACAATTGAAGTGGATTTTGTCAGGTTAACTAAGGGAAGAACTTAGGCACGGATTTCCTGTCACGGCTCTGAGAATACACAGACTGCCGCTGAGAGGTTACCTTCAGTTTTGATACACTTTCAAAAATCTGAAGGAATGCTAAGTCTTGGAACCTAAAATCGTCTGCAATCGCTTTTAGAGGGATTCTAGATGGGAGCGAGAATGTCTTGTCCCAAATTATACTATTGGTATGTTCTTATGGTCTTGTGGACTTCCAATAGCTATGTTTCCATCTAAAGATTATTCTGGAATATTGGATAAAAGATCTGTGAATGAAGCAGCGTTTCAATATAACAAGTTAAATTAAACAAAAACATCACTTCCAGAAAAACTGCCACCAACTACCAAAAAGAAAAGGAAAATTTCTGTAGGAGAAGCCACTGTGGGCCTTTGTTCTTATATAATAGACTACTTGTACCTCAGAAAATGCAAAGAACATACAGTGGTTCTGGAGATGTGAGATATTCTTTAGGAGTGCAGCTGCTTAGGACAGTTCTGGAGGTAATAATACTGAACGACAGTGATGATGGACTTTGGCTGAGGCATTTTAGAATGATCAGAACAGTTCAGATGTTGTGCGATGTATTCGGTCTGCTAGTTTGTCCATTAATGTCATCCAATCAAGCCCATTTTTGTTACTGTTGCGTACACATACTGTAGAAGTCTACAAAGACATCACTTAACTGGATCAATTGTGTTTGATTAGGGCGGGACAGTGGAATCTCAATGTCCAGAAAACTCCCTCCACAATGCAGAAATCACTGCATTAAGTTTCTGTTGTGGTCACAATATACCAAGGGTCACCAATCTCGATCCTGAAGATCCGGTGTCCCTGCAGAATTTACCTCCCACTTGCCTCAACACACCTTCCTGGAAGTTTTTAGTAGACCTAAGCTGCGTTCCAGTCCAATTTTTTTTTATGCCCTTCACTTACTAACTTCCCTCCATCTCTTTTATTCAGATGTACGTCATTGATTACGTTACACAAGTGTCCACTAATGGTGGAACATCTGAATGACTTTAAATGGAACGCCCTAAACAAGGGGTGGACAAACTCGCTCCTGGAGGGCCGGTGTCCTGCATAGTTTAGCTGCAACACTAATCAAACACACCTGAACATGCTAATCAGTGTCTTCAAGATCACTAGAAATCTATAAGCAGCTGTGAGTGATTAGAGTTCGAGCTAAACTGTGCAGGACTCCGGCCGTCCAGGACGAGTTTGATTAAATATATGTTTTACAAGCTTTGGAGAAAACACACTCATGAAATTTCCTTCACTTGTTCCCTCAGGGTAATCCCTGCCACCATTTTAAAGTCCATTCCACTTAATCAAGTGAACAAAAGACATACCCTCGATCCCTGAATTTTGACATAGAGATTGGACACTACACCATTGTGTAGTTGGTGTAACGTAGTTGCACCAACTACATTGTGTAGTTGCATTACTTGTGTAACGTAATCAATGACGTACATCTGAATTTAGGAGATGGAGGGAAGTTAGTAAGTTCAATTTTTTTCAATTCAATTCAGCTTTATTTGTATAGCGCTTTTACAATGTAGATTGTGTCAAAGCAGCTTCACAGAAATGGTCATAGTAACTGGATCAGGGTAGTTCAGTTTTTAGTTTTAAAGTTCAGTTCAGTTTAGCTCAGTTCAGTGTGGTTTAAAGTCATTACTGAGAGTCCAAACACTGAAGAGCAAATTCATAGATGCGTAGCTCTACCGATCCTGAACCATGCAAGCCAGAGGCGACAGCGGAGAGGGAAAAAAACTTCACTGATAGTAAAAGTGAAGGGGATAAAACATTGTTCGAGGATGTGTCTGTATCCAGTTCTTTACAGAGGCTGGAAAAAAAGAAACCGGGGTGCCTGGTCTGTCGTATGCACCGGGAACCGGCTGACATTGGAATAGTAGGCGATCCGGAGGTGTTATAGATTGTACTAAACACCTGAGGACCGGGGGAAGGGGGTGAAATTCCAAAAGTTTTCCAGGAGAAATGACAATACGGGAGATAGGTCTGAAATATGGGAGACACCCAGGGACAGTTGGCAGGTATGGTTTGAGCTGGACTCAGCAAGACTTTAGTTCAACTCAAAGACCTGGATAAAAAAAAACACTCTTGCTGTAAGGGGTCCCATTTTAGGTTTCAGAAGGGTGCTTGCAAATGTTCCCCTTTATGGCTGTTATGTGGCATTGATGTACACTTTTGAGTGAAGATTTTGCATAGTGGAAAATGTGCACAAATAATTATGACGTGTAGTTTGTGTGTAGGCAGGGCCGGCGCATCCATAGAGGCGACCTAGGCGGCCGCCTAGGGCGACAAAATAGAGAGGGCGACGTCCCCGAAACTACCCTCGCCACCCGCGCCCTCATCCGCGTCTAGGGTGGCAGAATAGAGAGATTGGCGTCCCCTAAACTACCCTCGCCACCCGCGGCCACAGTTATATCCGCGTCTAGGGCGGCAGAATAGAGAGAGCGGCGTCCCCGAAACTACCCTCGCCACCCGCGCCCACAGTTATATCCGCGTCTAGGGCGGCAGAATAGAGAGGGAGGCGTCCCTGAAACTACCCTCACCACCCGTGCCCTCAGTTATATCCGCGTCTGGGGCAGCATAATAGAGAGAGCGGTGTCCGCAACACTACCCTCACCACACGCGCCTTCAGTTATATCCACGTCTAGTGCGTCAGAATAGAGAACCCCCCCGTTTTCACTTTAGGTTTGAGGGCGGCGTGACCATCCTTTGCCTAGAGCGGCAGTTCAGCTTGCTCCGGCCCTGTGTGTAGGGAATATTATAAGTTTTCACATAAGTGTTCCGTGTGTGTTTTAACCTAACGTAAATTGTGTTGAGATTTTACAAGTGGTGTGTATTCCAGCCTTTAGCAGATCATTAGGATTCTTGCTGATTCCTTTATAAGCATTGTTTATTTAGAATATTTATTACTTTTTAATACTTGCTATAATATTGGGTTTTCTTTTACAAAGCCATGCCGAGTTTATCAAAGCTGAGGTAGATGTCAGTAAAAAAAAAAAAAAAGGTATTTTGAACTTAATTTGTGGGATTGTTTAACTTTGAAGTCAAATGCTCAGAGCTGAAACTTTGCGGAAATGCTGGGATTATTTACACAGAGTTTTGTTCATTTGCTGTGCCTTTGCTTTTGTTTGCTAAAGCCCAGATTGAATCTTCTAGAGGTTTCCTACTTTTAAACTCTGCGCTCAGCATTCATCCAACGTTTCAAACTATTTAAAATAGACCCACGAAGGCAATTATAATCAAGATATACAGCAGCATCTCATTATCAACAACAAGACATGGGAACAATTACTATTTTCTTGATACATTTCTCTTCATCAAGACTGGCAGAAGCTGAGGAGAATTTGTCAGCCAAGTCTTATAAATGAAGGCAATGCAAGACATATGTTTAGCCTTCCCAGAAACAAGGGTCTATATTCTTCATTTGTCTTAAAACATCTTAGTATTCAGATCCTCAATGTCAGATACATCCACACGCTTTAGCTGAGAACTCGTGGATGGTCTTGTACTGAAAGGAGTTATCAAGGAAAAGAAAGTCCTCCTCATACGCTGTAGGCCGACAGCAGGGTCTGTGGCGAGCCTTGTTCTTTCGGAGCAGCCCCTTCTTCTTCATGGCTTCCAAGACAAAGTCGTAGTTTTTACGGCTAGCGTCGCATTCGCCACTGCAGTAATGGAAGGCTATGGTCTCATCGCTGACAAAGGCAATCCCAAGCTGGCTGACTGTCACCACCAGCTTCCGCAGCGAGCAGGGTTTGGATCCCTTTTTTGCACGTTTAGTCCTTTTGCTCAGCTGGGCATCTCTGTGGGCTTTCCTTTCCACCAGCGTCCCGATGACTTGCTTCAGCTCACCCTCTGTGAAGCTTTGGAACATCTCCATGACTGAGAAAAAGAGAGACACTATACTTAGCATGTAATGTGGCAAAACGTTAACATTGTTTGGGTTGGGTGATTAATCGAAGGTGATTTTCATGTGCATCTTGTCAGTAAAGCTGGTTCTAGTAAACCTCCAGCAATGTGTGTTCAGATGGAGCAGCATTTACTACATGGAACTGTAGTCAGGGCTGGCCTAAGGACCTGATCACATCAAACGCACTTTTTGTAATGTTATGCTGCGTTCACACCAGATGCGGAAAGCACGTCAAGCGCGTCAAGCGCGAGTGATTTACATGTTAAGTCAATGCAAATGCGGGAATAGACATCCTGCGGCGCGATATGCGCGAATGGCGCGGAGCGAATGACGCAATATGCGCGAGCCGAATTGAGCGTTTTGCGCGTTTGACGCACTTAATGAGCGTTTCATGCGAATCTCTCGAGTTCGAAAATCTGAACTTCAGCGGACATTCGCGCCGCGTTAATCAATCAGAAGCTTGCTCTTGTGGGGGCGTGATTGTGAAGTAGAACCTGTTGATGGTGTCACAGGGGAAATCCTCCAGGCGACACCGACAACAAGTCATCAAACTGGGCTTGGCTCAATCAAAAGCACCATTGAAAGCCTCCGTCATCCAGTTTCAGTTTCTGTAGGAGTTTATGAGCTCACAGAGCTGGATGCACCTCTGAAAGCATGTAGTGGAATCAGACACGGTCCTAAACATATCGAAGCTGTTTTTCAGCCTTCATAAAGCACATAAACACTGTTATTTTCTTCATAAAATCCATGTTAGCCATTTAGCAACGAAGCTACAGTCACCGGGCAGACAGAAGCCCTGCCCATCACGCGAATCCGCGTCTGTTTTGAAGTTAATTTGACACGCGAATGAAGCGGTTTGACGCGCAAATGAAGCGGGGTCTGATGCGCGAATGAAGCGAGTAATCGTGATTTATCCGCGCGTTCCGCGTCTGGTGTGAACACAGCATTAGGAGGGTTGTTACGATACTAGAATTCAGTACCAATCGGTACAGAAATTTTTAAAACGTCCATTTCCCACTAACCACAGAGTGCTGTTGAGTACATTTTTAAAGAGCGCTGAATTTGCCATAGTCTTCACATGCTCAACAGAAACGACTAATTGGCCATAAAGGTCATCAGTTTACCAAACTCATCGCTGTTTACTGAGTGTAACCACAGATGCAGGGACAATGGAGCATTTCAAAGGCACGTTGATCAGCTGGTCTGTTCTTTAAGCTGACATACAGTTGAAGTCAGTATTATTAGTCCCCCTTTGAATTTTATTCTTCTTCTGTTTCTAATATTTCCCAAATTATTTTTAACAGAGCAAGGAAATTTTCACAGTATGTCTGATAATATTTTTTTCTTGTGGAGAAAGTCTTATTTGTTTTATTTCAACTAGAATGAAAGCAGTTTGTAATTTTTTAAACACCATTTTAAGGACAAAATTATTAGCCCCTTTAGGCTATTATTTTCAATAGTCTACAGAACAGACCATCATTATTCAAAAACATGCCTAATTACCCTAACCTGCCCAGTTAACCTAATTAACCTAGTTAAGCCTTTAAATGCCACTTTAAGCTGTATAGAAGTGTCTTGGAAAATATCTTGTCAAATATTATTTACTGTAATCATGGCAAAGATAAAATAAATCAGTTATCAGAGATGAGTTATTAAAACTATTATGTTTAGAAATATGTTGAAGAAATCTTCTCTGTTAAACAGAAATGGGGAAAAAATAAACATGGGGGCTAATAATTCTAACATCAACTGTAAGAGCGATCTGCTGCTGAATCACGACTTTAAAACACTCCAGTGTCCCTGTGTCTGTGGTTAATATTAAATCATTTAGAGGCTTTTGCATATTTGTTTGGTACAAACATGGATAAAAAAAAACATATAAATTCACAAAGTATAATCTGTTTTTAGAATAAAATACATAACTGTTAAAGGGGTGGTCCACAATAACAACATATTTTAAACTTTAGTTGATGTGTAATGTAGCTGTGTGAACATAAACAACATCTCTGAATGTAATACGCTCAAAGTTCAATCCAAAGAGAGACATTAGCTTTTAGAGTTAGCTTAGCAAAGCCTACAGCAAACGAAGTTTGGGGACTACAAAACATACAACCGGGCTATTAAAATAACAAACGTTTCACCGCATAGTGAAGGGGCATGGCCAGAGGCGCTGTAGTGCTGTAATGTAGCAGAGAAAGCTAAAATACCGTCCAAATGCTGCTATTTCCACAGAGCTTCTTCTGTTTCTGTATTTTGGCTTCCAAAGGACACGATGCAAAGAGAGAAGTGCTTACAGTTCAATTTTAATTGTGTTCCAGAGTATTATAAAAAAGATACAGCTAGCATTTGACAAAGGACAGCTTCCAGAATCTCTCCCAGTTCAGTGCTGGATTCGGCTAAAAACTCAAAGAAGGAGCATAATCATCAACCATAATAGATGAAGCTGTGGATTGTGAGCCACAACCTGTCAGTATTTTTATTTGTTGAAATTGATCTATCGCGTGCCCTGTTTTTAGCTTTACTGGTATGTTATAGCAAGGACGTAAACAAGGATGACAACAGGAAAGGCTGTTTGGCACGGCTAACAATTTAGCTACAAATTCATATTTATTCATCAAAACGATGTACAGTAAACACCCACAATCTTCAGCAGCGCTGCGGTGTCTCTTCTACATCTTAAATAACAAACTCGCAAAAGATATGTGAACGTTTCATATTGCTTACACATGCTTATAATCCGAATGTATGTGAAAGATACTTGGCAAATTTTATTTTAAAGAGCACGCACAAGGTTCAGCTGTGTCCTATGTGTTAGTTTATATCTGATTCAGGCACAAACTGATAAGGCTAACAGCTACTCTGACTGTCTGTTTACACAGCGCAAAAGTGCATGCTTGTAAAAGTGTGACGCTTTTTCTGGTGACGTGGAGCCGATCTGCAATTGACAGCACAATGTGGTAGCTGACAAATCAGAGCCTCTTAAGGGCAAGCTTTCAGAGGAATTAGAAAATATGACAGTCGTTTTGATGTTAGCAAAGTAGCTGTATATGATCAAAGTAAAATACATGAAAAAATAACGTGATTTTCTACTAATGAAGCATGAGCACACATTGCTTTGCATCTTATAAACACAACTAAGCCTTAAAAATACACTCTGGACCACCCTTTTAAAACACAGAATTTATTTACTTAAAGTGAACTGGATAATTTTCCCCCAATCTATGAGTTTTTGATAGATCAACATTTGACATAAAATACTCATGAAATCATGTTGACAATTTTTAAACTTCAATCTACTTTCAGTTCAGTTTGATGACTACAGCGATTTTGAGGGAATAATCTGATTATCAGATTGCACATGAACATAAATTCACATGAAATTCTGATCGTTGGGATTATTTTACCACCTACAGTTGGACTTAAGTTTCTGGGAGGTCTACATGCAATAGGCAATCTTGGCATAAACATATATGCTACGCTACAAAGAAGTGCTATCGCTAGGCCCGTCAAGGTCTTACATTCTGAGACAAGAGAGTTTTCTCCGTCTGCTGATCTGGTTCTCCGTTGTCGCCCACCAAACTCAATGGAAGAGGATGAATTACTGACTGTAAGAGAAGTTGATGAGGATGAAGGAAGAGGCGGGGCTCTGGAAGAGGGCGTGACTTTAAGGACGAGCAGGAGGAGTGCAGCACCACAGAGAATCAGGCCGATGGCAGCAAACTTCCATAACTTCATCTTAGAATGAGGAGAAGCATTGGGCCCCTGCAAAACAAGCAAACGGCCATCACTCAAAAGAAGAAGAAAAAAATACACCTCAAACAGTCACATCAGATTTTGACATCTCAAGTAACTCCAGAAACATTATGGCTGATTTTTATTAATATACAATAGACGACTAGGCGTCACTGGAAACTATCGTTCAACGTGTATATAAAAAACATTGTTTTAAAGACACAATTTGTAAGATGAAAACATCCCCAAAAAATATCCAAAAACAACTAGAACTGTACAGTAAAGTAAGTAAAAGGTTTGTTATAAAGCACCTTTCACAGACATTAAGTCACAAAGTGCTTTACAATAAGAGAAAACAAGAAATCAGGTAAAAGAACACATCAATAAAAGAAAACATTTAAAACAAGTTAAAAATCCAAGTACAGAAACACTAACACTGTTAATGAAAAGCTTGACTAAAAAGATGTATCTTTAAATGCTTTTTAGTGTGCTTTCACATCTGTAGTTTGCTTCATTTGGTCCGGACCAAGGGCAATAAATGATACATTGTTGCATTTTCTGCCGTCTTTGGGTCGTTTTCACACCACACTGCTGGTTTTGGTCCGAACCAGTTGAATTCAACCATAATGCAGTCATCTGACAAAATCCACATCTCTCATTGGCCAGATGTTGTTAAACATATTTCCTAAACTGCTTATTGATTGGTTCACGTGCGGGAAAATGCCAACGAACTCCCGCAAGTAAACAAAACTGGCAGACACGAAATGTCGTTTTTACTCTGGAGGGGCGACTGCGCTGGCTGATTGTATCCCTGCTTTTGACAAACTATACATTTCAAGAATGAAGCGCGGCTGCTGCTGGAAAACAAGGTTTTAATGCATCACTCGTCACTTGAGGAGGAGGCGTGAATTAATTTAGCTAAACTGCAACATGGTCATCTTGTGGAAATATTACCAACGATCCATCAGGTAATGTTTTTCCCTCTCTCTCTGTTGGTAAAGCGCTGTCAACAAATATTTTCCTCCATATCCCAAAATGCACAGCGCATTGGCCTACGGCAGCTGGATTAGTCCAAAAGGCGCAGTACTTTTTGCGGTTGGGTCTGTTTTAGTACGGATCATATTCTCACCACAAACGAATCGCTCCAGGGTTCGTTTGAAAGTGTACCGAGAACACCTCTTCAAGCAGGTCTCGGTACACTTATTTGGTCTGCTTTTGGTACGATTGCTGCTTTCTCACCTGCCCAAACAAACCGCACCAAAAGGGAAAACAAACTCTAGTGCGATTTAATCTAACTAAATAAGGCAGGTGTGAAAGCACCCTTAAAAAGTTCAACTGATCCCAGAGTTCTCATTGCGAGAGGGAGAGAGTTCCAGACCCTTGAGGCCACACCACAGAAGGTACGGTCACCTTTAGTCTTAAGACGAGTTCTGGGAATGGCTAAAAGGTCTTTGCCAGAAGACCTCAGATTCCAGCTACTCAAGTGACTATGTAAAAGATCTTGAATATAAAGGGGTGCTTGACTTCTATATATAATTACCAGAATCTTAAAATTTACTCAAAACTAATAGGGAGCCAGTGAAGTGCCTTAAGCACAGGAGTAATGTGAGACCTCTTACTGGTGTTGGTTAAAAGCCTCGCCGCTGCACCACTTGCAATTGATCCATAGAAGATTTGTGAACTTCTATGGATATATATGTTCCTCAGATGGAAAATGCATGTACGAACACCAGACTTAATATGGCTATTAAAACAGAGTCCTGTCAAAGATGACATCGAGATTTCTAATGTCACTGCAATTTGAACATGACAAACCCCCAATTGCCATCTCGTGCCACCGTGGTAGACTTGCCCCTGACTCCTCCAGAACAAATACCTGGATGATGGAAGCTTTCAGCACTTGATGAACTGTTGTTGGTGTCGGCAGGAGGATCACTAACTGCAGGTGCTATGTGATGTTTTGTAAACAAATTTCGGGAGGAGCATGCGCAGAAGTTTCAGTATCGAATACGTCATTGACAATTATCCCATCATCAAATCAGCTTCTGAGCAACCCCTATATATACCAAAGCTGTCTTACCTGCAGCATCTCACGACTTTAGCATCCCTCCACCACCCGTCACCTCACCTCTTGCATTGCATTCCCGGGGGGAGCGTTCTGGCGCCGGGCTAGACACTTCGCTCGAATACCAATTCCTCTTTGTTTCCTGATAAGGGGAATAACTCGAGTTGGGGTGTCTCCTCGAGCTCAGAGCCCTCCCCCCGGACAGCACGCCAAATATGCTTTATACTTAAACGAATGCAAGTGTGAACTCGTGAAGTCATAATCCCGCCCCTACAAGAGTAAGCTGGTTAACGCGACATGAATGTCCAGATTTGCCAACTCGAGCGAATCGCATGATTCTATTGTGTCTATTCGCGTCTTTGCATTGACTTAACATGTAAATCACTTGTGCTTGATGTTTCATTTGCGTCTGGTGTGATCGCACGTTTCGCAGTTTAAATGACTGTACTGTATTCAGCCACTAGGGGGAGCTCCAAATGGTTTGGCCTAGAGATCTGCGCAGGACTAAATTTTGAATCCCGCTCCCGCCCGCACCCGCCAGGTTTTAGCCCGAACCTGACCGCTCCCGCTTATATTAAGAATTTATTGTCCCGCTGCCCGACCCGCCCCGTTTTCTGCCCGCCGCGCCCGATCCCGCTAAAGAGCGGGGGAGAACAAAACCGAAAATCCCCCAGCTATACAGTCCAGACAGCCAAGCTGTCTGTATAAACACACACACACAGCACCAAGCACACACACACAGACAAATATCTCTCTCTCTCTCATACGCGCGCGCGCACTAACACACACACAAGCACCAAGCAGACACACAGGCGTTTGCTGTTATATCAACTCAAAGACTTGTAATACCATGTATCTTTATGTAATACCAAAAGGTTTTATATAAAGGTATATAAATACTGAGTCGCGCCAGCTCCGGGCCGCAGCGCACATTACTCTCGGGCCGATTCCGGCACGGATGCGGCAGCGTCGGCTCGCTTACGGCCGCCGCATCTGGCCCGATTGATTCGGGCCGGAATCGGGCAGTGAGTCCACAAGCATCCGGAGTCCGGCAGCCGGAACCAGAATGAGTAGTAAGAATCTAGCCGGAACTGGCCCGAGTGTATTTTGCTATCTGGGAAAGCTCTCTCTCTCTCATTCGCGCGCGCGCGCACTAACATACACACACACAAGCACAAAGCACACACACAAGCAAAGCTCGCTCTCTCTCTCTCTCTCTCTCATTCGCATAGCAATATCCGCGATATTGCTAGACAGCCCGCTCCTGTCCCAAATTAAACCCGTTACCGACCGCTCCCGCGATTTATTTGGAAATTTATTCCCGCGCCGCAGAAATCTGGTCGGGTCCTGCGGCGCCCGCGGGACAGCCGCGGGAATGCAGACCTCTAGTTTGGCCTCACTGTTCAGTTTGTTTGAGACGCACTGAAATATGACTTGTGTACCATATGATGAATTGCGCGGGAGCTAACAGAATTCAATCAAGAAATAGGTGCCAGGAGAGTGAGAAACATGTTCGAAAACAATAGTTATTTTTTGTTAATTTAGTTTGCATTGTCATTTGGTGCATAAATTACAGACGTTTTCATAAATTTGATAAATAATCATTTAAACTGTATGGGATATTCTGATTGAAATGAAGTTTAGCGTTAAATTCAGATTAAATTGTTACTATTGGGATTTACCACAGTGCAAGAATTTGTTCAATGTGCCATTGATTAGACCTGAGACCATGGAAGATAGCACTATGCACTAATGCCGGGTAATTAGCGTCAATGCTAAGAATAAACAAGTGATGACATGTTTTGGCAAAGCAACAACGCTTCTGGGTGGATTCAGTTTCCTAATTTCCATATATCGTTTAAAAAAGCATTTTAACATGCACTTCTTCTTCTTTTTTTATTGTTTTGACATTTTAACTGCACCGGTGATTGACACTGATGTTTGACACAATCGTTACTCCCAAAAATGATTCAAGGACAGCCATCCAGCAGTTACAGAACTGCTGCGCTAACAAACGCCAAACCAAATTAAAAGCTTTCCGATTGTGTATTTGAAGTCTTCAGCTACATGCACGCTGACTTGTTTTTCCAAAGATTTCATTTACAGATGTTTGCACAAGTGGTTTCACCATCCGTAACCTTTCTGCTGCTCTGTTGATCTCATTCCGGTCGCAGGTCTCGGAGGGCACACAGGTGTAGCCTGTCCAACTATTTCATGTGGCCCAAATTGTGTGTATCCAGAAAAAAAATACAAAAACAACGACATGCTCTGCCTGCGATCTTGTTTTATGTTTTACTTCTTGGATACACCAGCTAAGGATTAAATGAAGAGTTCCAAGCGAAACAGATTGCATGTGCACATGGCCACAGTGTTATACAGATCACAAGGTTCTCCTTTGGCAGCATCACAACACACACACAGGAGAACTATATCAAAACGTTTTCGTCAGTGATTTCCCTACATACAAATAAAGATGCTCTCTCAGGCACATATCTGCCAGGTATGTTTATTTCTGAGTGAGAAGTTTTTAGGTTTGTTACAGGACTACAGTACAGTAGTGGTACCATAATTATCAGTATCAGGTTTTAAGAGTGTGGCACTTACATACACTACCTGACAGAAGTCTTGTCACCTATCCAAGTTTTAGGAACAACAAATAATAAATTGACTTCTAGTTGATCATTTGGTATCAGAAGTGGCTTATATGAAAGGCAAAGACCTCTAGATTACACTTATTTTACCAAAATATAATATGATCATGCCTTGATTTTTTTTATTATTTGCTAGGGACAGTAAGGTCTGACTTTGCTTAGACAAAAGTCTTGTCACTCAACAAAAATAATGTACAGTATAGAATATAAAGTCATGCAGCAGTGGAAAAATAATTAATATTGTGTATGACTCCCATGAGCTTGGAGGACTGCATCCACACATCTGCAATGACTCAAATAACTTATTAATAAAG